AATCTAAGTGAAGTGCATTAGCCCGTCCACGAACAGGTCAATTGCCTGCTGCAGATGCACATATCACAACATGCAGCTTCTCATTTACAGATGATTCTGAGGCCAGAGGTGAGTTTTTAACAGAACAATGTCTCCGTCCGCTTCATGCCGGCGCATTTTTTAACAGTTAACTTCATCTGGCTCAGATCGGTTTTTAGAGAAATCACGTTCTGTCAATCACGAGGACCAGACGTACATCTCCTTAGATCAGGATTGTTGGCAGTGAGGCCCACTGACCAACTTCCAGAAAAAAAGGAAGCAAGTGCTGAACAAATAATGTAGTTAGAAACCAATATTGAATACTGATATCACATATTAAAACCTGGCATGCTGTTCAAGAAACAAGATATTTCAAGGACCAAAAACAACTACATGACTTTGGAGAGTAAATGTAGCAGCGGGCTTTAATGGTGGACATGATTTATATGAATGGAAAGGAGCCATTTTCTACCTCAATGACATGATTCATGAAGTTTAGTGAAAAATTAGGTCATGGACCAAGAAAGAATGTTTTAGTTTTGGGTATAAATACTGCAACCGTGTGAGAATCTATCCATTTTACTTTATGCTTCGAGACCTGGACTCTGAGGAATAGAAGCAAAATAATTTTTTCCTTCATCCCCTTCATCCCCACCACTGGGCCCATTTTCCACCATTATGACATTTTAAAATTTTAATATGATGAGGTTATACAAACAGGTATGCAGGGGAATGAAAACAGAAATGGATTTGATAAGGTTGACTGCTTAAAAAAAATTGCTTAGTGACAGATTAATTGAAACAAATAGGACGGAAACACGAGGAAAAGGAAGGTGGAGACACAGTAGAAGTCTGGAGAGCAAATATTCCTCAGCAACATGTTTGGAAAATTGGGTACAGACATTTTCTGGTGTTTTTATATATATATAAAGAACGCAGCAGGAGGATGTCTGGGTCAGACGTGTTCAGGAAAAGGAAAATCTCCATAGCATTCAGGTGGCAGGACATGACGTATAAATCCCGCTGCAGTAATCACACATTTTCGTTCACAGCACATCAACTCTGGCCTAATCACAAACAGTTGATTGTTGTTTGTTAGAAACATCATCAACGTGCCCCCTCGCCTGTGACATCCTCACGCTGTATCGGTTCACGTGGACATTTTCTGGACATTTTTCAAATTTCAGAAAACTGACTCGGACATTTACAATCTCATCTCCTCTGGCTAAGTTTCAGTCCATGTCTGAAAGCAGTTTATAGCAAAAGAAGTAAAGCTACAAGCAGACAAGGTTTTAAAAAGACTCTTCACCAGCAGCCTGGAGCGGTGCTGTAGAAACACCATTATGAGTAAGAGCAAAGGGATAAAGTATAATAGGCCTTTATAGACTATTATAATCCCTGTCTCTTTGCTGGTCTCTATTTAAACTATTAGGTTCTAACAGGCTTACACTGTATGGAGACTGCTTTATAAGCACAAAAGACCCTGAACCATGTGTGTGTCTGTCTGTGTGTGTGTGTGTGTGTGTGTGTGTGCTCAGTCATAGTCCAGTGCAGCTCAGCTAATGACGCAGGCTAACAAGCTGCAGAGGGAATAGAGCTCCAGGACTTGTACCTGAAACTGCTCCTGGAGGACTAAAAATAGTGCACTCTCCGGCCGAGGACAAAGTACAAGAGCAGTGTGTTTGGTGAGAAATTCAAGATCACTTGATAGATTTATTCTAACTGCTTTATTTAATCAGCCAAATTGACGGGGATTGGGAAAATTCTCATATTTACAGGCTCAGCCCCTGGGAGCAGTTAGAGGAGGTAGGTGGAGGATTAAACACGCTCATATGTGGGAGCTCTCTATCAGTGTGTGCCTTGCTCATGAGCACTTGAAGCAATTGTTATGGAAGGGTATGTGTAAAATTCCCCACTCAGCATTTTATTATAGTCCTGGAATTTTAATCTGACAGTTCATGTCTGCACCATTCACTTTAGCACCTAATAACGTAGGTTACGCTACAGGGAGAAGTGGGCCCGTGAATTTTA